GGGGGGGGGGGGGGGGGGGGGGGGGGGGGGAGAATGGGATTTGGACGACTTCCTCCTCTCCCCTTCCGCCCTCGTCATTACGTCGAAAGCCTCACTACCCCATCTCTCCCCCTCCCCCTCTCTCTTGCTGGTCGACCCTAAACTACGGCAACCAAGGGAGGGGGAAGGGAAGAAAAGGGATGAGAAAGTGGGGCTCCCGGTGAGGGATAGGGGTGCAGGAGTGGCAACAGATGGGTGTCGAAGAGAGTTTTCTACAGTAAAACAACTGCTACCTGTGCCAGTGGACGGGAGGGATGTTTCGTCCCCTGGACCCGCCAATGGTTACATGTCAAAATTTTTCTATAATTCGCTTTTGGAAAAACGAAACTCATTCGGAAATAGCTCCTAATAGCAGCACATACACGTAGCACTTGATGCCGTTTTATTTTGAAAATTGCTTAGAAATTGGTGGTGATTTTGGCTTTTGAGCGAGTGTAGGTACTAGATACCAATTTATTCCTATTCCTGGGCTCTGAAGATCGAGGATTTGATCCCGCCAAGAAAAAAAGCCAGCGATTACTTGACAATACATTTTCTTGATTTTTTTTTTGGATCTGTTGATTAGAGGCTGTTGTTTTTGTGGATTTCAGATTCCAGGACCTTTACAATGGCTCTACAGTACCACATGATATTGCTGCAGCGGTAAAACACGAAAAGATTGCGATGCGAGCAGACAGCTGCATTTACGCCGATATTGGTGAATATTTTTTCTCTGTACATATTTAAAGAAATGAAATTCAGGGGACGGCTCACGTGGTGTAACGCTAGGCGAGTGCCATACTGGCACTCAATTTTGTGGCTAAAAATAGAAATTTCAGGTTTACAAGAACAAGTCCTCGAAATGCTACTATCTTTTCATCCGTTCTATCTGCGTCTGGGCCTCGAAACAGTCCTATCACTCCAAATCAATACTGGAATGGATGGCACGAATTATTACAAAATTTTGGCTTCGATAGTTGCACAGAATCTCTTCAGAAGTCCAAAAATTATGAAAGATTCAAGATATGTGCAAGGACGAGCAAAGTAAATTTTTTTGCGCGGTCTGAAACAAGCTTCGGAAAATTTCGGAATCAAGGCCAGAAAGTTTACTTTTCAGGACTATTGTTCGTAAGGAAGGTGCAAAAGCTCTTCAGCAACATTTCCTCACCAAAATATGCCAGTTTTTGTTTATTATAAGCGAAGCAAGGAATGACGATGTAATTTCACTGAAGCACCGATGTCTCTTTGTTAAATCTTCATCTTACAAAGTGAGTAAAATCCACCGTGTTTTGGGGTGAAAACTCAGTTTCCTCACCTATATTCTCTAGGAATTTAAGATAGCGTTTGCTTGAACAAGTATTAGATCAAGCAAAAAAAATGATTCATCGCTTTAAGTAAAGCTCGTTTAGTCGCTAACTTACCAAATTAACTTAGCGCTTGTTTCAGTGTCAGTTTACAACAACTTAGCGCTTATTTCAGTATTATTATACCACTAGAATCACATACTTTGATTGGATCCAACAATTCGAAACCTTATCAGGCGAATGCTTACTTGATACTTGAAGAAGAATTAGTAGAATTGGTGTATTCGCAGCCATACCATTTGTTGTGGACGGAGATTTTTTTCAAAAAACTGTTTGGGACCAGAAGGGAATCGAACCACTCTCCTTCACGTCGGGGCGCAATGTGCTACCACTACACCACCGATCTTTGTGCTCGAGGTCCAGCCTGACAGCACATCTACTGTGTATATGATTTCCAAGGCAGGGTACACCTTTCTTCTCGTTTTCTTCTGTAACATCTTTCTGGCCGGTTTTTTTACGAGTTTCCCACCACACCACTTTTTTTTTTCATTTTATGGTTGTTTTGCCAATGCTGCATCGCCTGCTGGGCCAGTCTTCTCTTCAGGGGACCAAAAGGAACATCAGGATTCGCGTGTTTGTTTTGGTCTCCTGAGGGGATTATAGGCAATATTGGGCACCCCGGCAGAAGCATTTTGATAAGGCTTTAACCGCTTAAAGATTCAGCGGTGTCGATTGAGCGTATTGTTTCGACTTCAACAACTCTAAATCGCGTTGTGGTGTTTTGTAGCCTTGTTGTAGATTAGTCGAATGCGTGAAAATTTTCGAATTTTCAGAGTTTCACCGATGTACTAGCGATGTTGAGCCGAGAGCTGATGACTGGTGCGATCAATTTGCCGAAGGTGCTTTCTCATTTGGGCGTAACATTGACATTCAAACAAGGATTCTTTGACGAAATCGATTATCATGTCAAAAATTTATCAAAAGATCTGTGCGATGGAATAATTCTTGGGTAACAGTTAACTTTCTTTCTCAAAAAGGGTCTTTTTTTGTAACGAATGAATGAATTGGCGAGAAATGTACAATGAGTTTCAAATTTTCGAAAATTAAGAAATGAGGAAAGAAAAAGTACAGATTTTGTGGTGCTGGCAGCAACTTAGATTACCATGGCCTCCTGATCAGATGGCCACTGGTCACCTTGGTCATCCATAGCCCGTAGCGTGGAGAGGTGGCAACTACTCTAGTTGTTTTGCCAAAAACGGCATCATCTGACGGGCAGCATGCTGTCGGTCCTTGACATTCGTTTTGTCCTTCTGATGCAGTTATCAGCGTAGTGTTTCTCTAGATAAAAGTAGTCGGGAAGATTTTAGCCGTTTCGAAATGTGCCTGATATGTAGGCGGATTCAGGGAGGTTTCCTGACCGGGGGAGAGTAAGGGAGGGGGAGGGGG